GTATAGACTGATCTGGCCTTCAACCAGTGTTGTAACTCATGCCATTCTGCAATTAGTTACAATTATAAGCGGTCTCCAAAGTCCATAAAAGCTCAATAATATAGGCCCTTCACATCTTTGCTCTCCCCAAAGAAGGAATCCAAATGAAGATTTTATATCTTAATAAACTCAATAAATTTTATATGACTCTTGAAGTGGTCTACTTCCTCTTCTGAAGTTTTAAACATTTTATCCGGCTATAGGTGTAAGTTTGTAACTGTTTTCAAATCCTCAGCCTCTGCCTACCTTTATAACAAAACAGACAAAATGACTAGAGATTTTGGCATTACCATTTTAGGTGCATCTTTTCATTGCTCAGGTGAGATGAGGTACTCTTACCACATTATTCCTACCTTGCAAATGAGGAACTGAGACACAGAGGTCATTGGTTTTGGGTGCCCTATTCAAGCTGCTTCAGAATTTTTGGTAGTTTAAACACCGCGCGTATTCAGAATCCATCTGACATGAGCAGAAGATGATCAGCTGTTTGGCAAATCGTACCAGAGGGTGGTGAATCTTAAACCCAGAAAATGTTGAACAATTAGGAGCTGCCTAAAAAAGGTTTGGGTTAAGGGGCTATAGCGTTAAAACAGAGGGGCTTTGTATATCTGTCCTGGTTTCAGTTAGCACAGAATTAATTTTCTTCCTAGTAGCTGGTGGAATGCTGTGTTTTGGCTTAGGATGAGAAGAGTGCTGATAACACCCCGATGCTTTAATTGTTGCAGAGCAGTGCTTATACTAAGCCAAGGACATCTCAGCCTTTTGCTCTGTCCTGCCAACGGGCAGGCTGGGGGTGCAGTAAGAGCTGGGAGGGGACAGACCCAGGACAGGTGACCCAAACTAGCCAAAGGGGTATTCCATACCATCTGACGTCATGCTAAACAATATATAGGGGTGGCTAGCTGGGGGGAGGGCGCCGGACTGCTCGGGGTTAGGCTGGGCATCGGTCAGCGGGTGGTGAGCAATTGCATTGTGCATCACTTGTTTGTACATACTATTACTTTCGTATTATCACCATTGTATCATTATTATTATTATTGTTATTATTATTTTTGTTATTATTATTTTCCTGTCTTATTAAACTGTCTTTATCTCAACTCACGGGCTTCACTCTCCATTTCTCTCCCCCGTCCCAGAGAGGGAGGGGGGAGGGTGAGCGAACGGCTGCGTGGTGTTTAGCTGCCGGCCGGGTTAAACCACGACAATATCTTATCAACTGCTCATCTTACCCACATCTTCCAAATCAGCTGTGAGTAGTGTAGAGGCTTTACAGACCAGCCTCTCTCTCTACTCTCAGAAGAGAACCTTACTTCTGCCCATCATTATCTCCCATCACATCTCTTCGCACATTCATCCTTCAATCCCCTTTTCTGTGCCATATCAACCGCCAGTTTACTCCTTATTTCCTTATTGCCTTTAGGTCTAGTGTTTGCCTTTTCCCTTTCTAATTCAGATGGTTCATTTATGGCAGTGCTTTAAAAATATTTTCCTAAGGGAAAAAAATATGTATTTATGTATTTTCCTATGTACTGTATGGTGACCTTACCAATAGAAGTTGCATCCAGTTCCTGTAGCCTGAAGTTACACCCCCTGGTCTGCATTAATGACTGTATCACAATTTCTTGATTTTCTGATATGGATCAGGAACATGAGAGCTTGAGAGAAAAAGAGAAGGAAACCTAACACTAAGTGCTGCTGGATTATTTTTTTTTTCATATTAGTTTCTCGTTGACTATGAGGCTGGGAGAGCCTGACTGAGGCAGAGTGGTAGCTGAGAAGATAGTTTACAGTGAGTGATGGCTTTTCAGAGCTTGACTGACAACAGTATGTTGAAAGGTGTTTGACATATTCTTGTGTGATAGCTGTAATCATGTTGGTCAAGAGAAGATCCTAATATTTCTCATTGGCATTCAGAAGCCCCAAGAATTAAAGATCCCTTTCGAATCTGATGGTTCACATTTCTGTCTGTCAGACACTGTCAAAGAATTCATTTCCACTGCACAGCTTTGAGTCTATCTTTGCCTGGAGAAAGCACTTTGAACTCAATTTATCTCATCTGCAAAGGAAGATGACAGCTCTTTGCTATAGAAAATATGTGTCTGATAACTATATTATCTGCTAAAACACTCTTTTCAGCCCCAGACAGCCAAGTGTTCACCACAGAGGTGGGGCATCCTCATTACTCTCCCTGTCTCTTGAGGGTTAATGTTGTACTTTATGACACTTGCCCAAAGACTGAGGCATAAGATGTGGGAAAATTGTGGCAAATAGTGTAGGTGGTGGTGGTCAGAGGGAGGGAGGAACTTCTTTGTACACCTCATGTCTTTTTTTCAAAATATGCCCTGTCCTCTTTACACACTGCAGTCCACTCTGCTTTCCTGGGCTGCCCAGTCCACTCAAGTATGACCAGAAATACTCCTCCCTTCATCTCTGCCTGTCACAATGGTGATTATATGGACTGCTCGTAACCTCCCAACTCATTTTTTATTCTTTGTCAGATGAGAGGACCGGCTGGGTCCATGTAGCCCGGCACCACCTCACTCCTCAAAGCAGTGTCCTGCCACTGCTGACTACAACATGACTTCACACAAGCTGTATCCAATCTATTTCTACGGTGCATTGTCACCAGTTAAAATTGGTCTTGTTCCTCAGTTCCCTCCGTTTTCAAGCTGAAAAGAGAGAGGAACAGATAAGCCCCAGTTTAATTTGTTCTGGCAATTATTGGAAATCTCCCACAGAGAGAGAAGCCCTTGCCTATCAGTGCGGAATGACATACAGCCATACGGGCCCAGACAAAAGGAGACCCCGCTTTTCTGCAAGTCTATTCAGGCATGTATAGACATATTGGCTGAGGTACCAGCCCATTCGAATCTTAATGGGGAAAAAAGAGAGACGAGAACCTTTTTTTTTAAATTAAAAAAAAAAAAAAGGAAAGGAAAAAAGAAACAAGAAAAAAAAAAAGAGAGAGAGAGGGAAAGAGAAAAAAAAAAAAAAAAGAAAATAAAAGAATAAAAACTATCAAGTGAGAACCAGCATTGAAGGCTTGAAAACAAACTGTGAACTGGCAAAGAAAGGGGGAGGAAACTCATTTGACTATCTAGTCCGGTAGATAACTATACTGCTGCTGTATGTGTTTTAGAAGTATCAGAATAATTCTGTTATTACAGATAAAGGTTACCATAAGATTGATTTGAAAATGTGAATGGAAGATAAGTGCGTTTTGGAGCTGGGGTACAAGCTAAGCTTTTTTTTTCTCTTTCTCTCCTTCTCTTCCTCTCTCTCTATTTTTGCAAATCAGGATTCGGCATTAATTCAACCCAAATGAAACTGTTAGGATAAAACACCTCTGAGAAGCATTTTAAAATATAATTTCCTGCAAAATGAGTGTGTAAGTTTATTAAAAAAAAAAAAAAAAAAAAAAAAAAAGGTGCTAGTCAAAAGGTGAAAGAAATATATTACATGATTATGGAGGAAGAAAGAGGTTATTTAAGAAATAGCTGAAATGGCAGTTCTTTTAAAATTGTCATGTGGATGCTTTTAAAATGCAATGACAATGGCAGCTTTTCTTTAAGGCTTTTTCCTTACACTCTGCTCCTGAGCAAAGGGGAAAAGTGTTTGTGGAGCAGATCATTTTAAATTCCAGGTAGATTTTTTCCCTGCCTCTGGATTAATTTTCTCAATTTATCTCTTTAACAATACTTAGTAATAATTCATATGGCCAGCTGACCTGTCTACATGGAAAACAACTGACAGAAATAAATGTCGTAGTTCAGTCATTGACATCCCAGAAATGAGTTCTCATTACTTTAATAATGTGTTACAGAAGAAGAGCTGTAATGCAAGCTCAGAAAATAACAAGAGGCACCCCTCCCCTCCCTTGATTTTAAAGGAATTGTTGGGACTGATCCAAAGCTCATTGCATTGATTGAAAATGCTTTTGCTAGCATTGCTGGATTTGGAGCTGATGCATTGTTTATGGGGATTATAACCTCTGCTGTTGTTGTCTGCAACAAAAAATTAATAATGTAAAACATTAATGAAAATCTGCTTTCTTTTCATTAATGATGATTTCTGTGAGGAATGATTAGAGAATTTCTGACTGACCAATGCTCCAGTTACACAAGTTAAAAAGCAAAGTTTTAAAACAAAAACATGCCTCCAGATAGTGAGAAGATGCATGTATAATTCTAGGGAAATTCGTTCTTATTGCAATTAGTGGCCATTGTGTCTGAGCATTAATAGCCTGGGGCAAACATAATAAACCAGTTCCTAACTGTTGGTAATGACAGATTTCTCAGGGATTATTACTTAATTAACAATAATTTGAAAGGGTGTTTCAGCTAAGACGAAGCACTCATTTATATGGCATATCTAAAAAATATCAGATCAAAAGAACACGTAGCATGCTAACATTTCTCTTGGTCCTTTCATTTCATTTGTGCATGTCTGCCTCCCTACGTAAAATCTTATTTTTGCATCTGAGCTGCTTTCTTTGTGGGTTCACATAACGGTAATTGGTTCCCCCTCCGATATTTGCGCATTGTTTTATCGTCATACCACGTCTTCTGGGTCTATGCAGATGATGATTTTAATTGGAAATGCTAACTCGATCAGGAAAATACCTCCCACGCCCACTCTTTCCATCCTCCCCATGCCAGAATGGGGCAACTGTTTCCCCAACACATGCATTATTCATTCCCAGCCACCTCAACATGAAATGTTTGCTATTGTTCCCACCATCCACCCATGTAGCTTATGTTCTCCCGGCATCTTTTCTAGTGAATGGCTTCTGTATACCTCACCTCATGGATTACTGGCCTCATTCACATATTAGTGCATCAGCTGAGAAAGAGGCTAGATCTCAGACAAAGAATATTCTGATTGGTTTGTGGTGATGTCTTTTTTTTTTTTTTTCTTGAAAGTTGCCACATACCATAATACAAATTAAACTTTTTCTTTAGAGATGACTGTGTTCAAAAGAGGACAGAGCTGCTGAAGTGCCTGTTGTACTGCCCAAGAGCACACAAGAGAAAAGCAGTGTGTAAACTGAGCGGCAGGAGCACAGAGAAGTGCAAACATAGCGAAAGGTATGTTGTAAAGCTACTATTTCTTTTTCTCTGTGGCAAAAAGTGTATTTTCTACATTGCTTCTCATTGAATATGGTGGGTTGCTTGAAAACTGGAAAGATCTATAAAGCATTGTACTTTTGTCTTGGTAAGAAACAAATGATTCTGCTGTGTTCTCTAAGATCTGGACAAGCTGTCTGAAGCAGTTCTTCAGAAATATTAAGTAGCTGTCTGTTGCAGTCATCGGTATCCATATAAAAGGCTCTGGAATAATTCCATTATTTGCTCTTCAAAGTCTGTTCAAGGAGGCTCTAATTTTAAACCCATACATTACTTAAGACTGACAGTGACATGGACAAGTTATTCTTAAACAAGTTGTAAAACTCTTCTAATTGAAAAGTTGATTTGTAAAATAGGCATTAGGCACATACATTTCTATTTGTGCTTTCAGAAAATTCCTGTTCAAAGAGCTAATCCGCGTGTCTCGACTGTCTAGTTGGAAACTTGTGTTTGGAAGTAGATTAGAATGGCACTTGTACAGAGCCCTGACTCCTGCGGTGGATCAAGATTGATTACAGTGACACTGAATTTCACTTTTATTTCAGTTGAATTTAAAGATTTCTTTAGTTCACATAACATCAAAGGTGTCCTTCTAAATAAATATCTTGCAGTGCTCTATCTTAAGGCATATCTTATTATGTACGAAATAATCAGGTTGATATGGTATTGCATCCAAAACAGCACATGTTGTTTTGAAATGTGCCTTGTGGGAAAACAAAATGGGGGACATATAGCAATATATTCGTTTGAAAAGAATACTTACAGTGAATGAAGCTCAGTTACGCCAATTAACAGCATTACACAGACACTACAGCTAATCTTGAAATACTGAATGAATGTTAAACCAGAAATCAAAAGTTTTATTATCCTTGATGTATTTCTTTCCAAATCTCTGTTCACATTTTTTTTAGTTTATTCAATTTCTCTTCATAGCAAAATGACTAGTAACTACTCCTACAGAGTCCACCCACTGAAATTAATGGTGTGTGGGGAAGGTCATTAAAGCAAAACTCCTTTGTCCTTTAAGGAAAGCTGCAGAGACAGGTGAAAGCCTCCACAAGCGGAGCAGTGCAGCTCCTGCACATGGGAAAACATTCACTTTCCTCCTCCCTCCTCTAGCACAGGACAAGGAGCAGTGATTATTTTGTGCTGTCTGCTCAGCTGGAGCCAACTCTCTGGCTTCCCAGCCAGCTACCTGCCCCGCATGGCGCAGTGGCCCTGTCACAGTGGGGACCGTGAGACCTCCACAGGCCAGAGCAGGCATGGATGCACAGCCCTCGGGTCAGCTGGTGAAGAAGGCTTTTCTCTGCCTGAATATCAAGTGTACGAGCTCCCCAGGGAGCCCACCTTTTGCCCACAGCAGCAGCAAGAGGGTCCTTCATCTCTCAGAATGGTTGGAGAAGGGGGTCTTCTGGGACCCCGGATAGCACCTCTGCCAGCTGGGGCAGGTGGAATATGTAGGAGGCGATAGAGGTCTTGTAGAAAATGCAAAGGACAAGCAGAAAACCTTGTCCAGCCTTTGACAGTGGTGCTTGAGGCTGTCTCTGAGCAGAAACATGACAGCCTGGCCCACAATATCGACACGTCACACCAACAGCATGCAATGCTCTCCCTGGACGAGTTTTATAAGATAACACTTCTCTATTTAAATCCTGAAAATACGGCATTTCTCTGTGGCTTCCTGACTCAGTCGCATTCACCGGTTTATTACTATACCTTCAATATTTATCTAGAAATTAGCAGCAACTGACTTTAATCAAATCTGATCATTTCCTCAGTGTGTCTCAAGCCCCAGACTTAAAGATGACTTACAGTCCCCATGCATTGAAGCTGTCCAAGTAGTTATGGATGTGAGTTGCATGTGTGTTGGGTTTGCCCTTCCTAGTATTACCGAATGATGCATATTCATAAGCGTGTCATATCTTCTAGGGAAAGCAGACACTATGCATTCCATATGTGTCATATTATATTGCATTACATTACTTAATAGTATATTTTATTACATTATATTACACTATTTTATTTTAGGTGAATCAAATATTGATTAAGAAACCCAGTCCCCTTCTATTATGCAAGTTGAGATCATTCTGACATTAAAAAGCAGAAAATTTCATTTAGGCTGTATTTTGCTTATTATCTTCTGATTGGCAGGAAAAGTATTTCTTGACGAAAAGATATTCTAGTGGCTGGAGATGAGGTGATAGATTTTTGACAGGTAATACTATGAATTTATACTGCATTTCGATCCTAAAGAATGTCACAGTAATATAAATAGTACCTGAATAAAATTTTAGTTTCTTCAGACCTATTTTATGCCTGCAGTTATTCATTCTTGCTAATGAGACAACTAATAGGCTAATGGACACAAATGATATAATATAGACATTTAACTCTGCCTTTTGAATGCAAAAGCTAAATTTGTGCCTACAAAGTATATGGTGAGGTGTTGTAATTCTTTTATGTGCCTCTGTGGAAGTGCAGGTCATATCTTCATGGCTCTGTTCACATGAATATTTGTAGTGGAAGGTACAAATAGGCAAAGCAAGTAAGATTTGTCCGGTACAAAATCTGTACAAAACTAGAGACTAGGTCATAGACTTTGGGGGAAAATTTGGTCCTATGCACAAAGAAACACTTGGCTTGCTATGGAAACAAGGCACATCCAAAATCAAATGCAATAATGTAGGGCGTTGCTCTAAGACTGTATAGGCCAAAAGTGAATCAATGCCAGCTGTAAGTTAATTTAGATAAACAGAAAAGTGAGTTTATAGGACATGAGAAAGAGCACCTACCATTACAGTAAGTTCTGATCATTTTTAAAATGCAGAGATAGCTTGGGGCTCTCTGATATCTTAACTGACTAATGGAAGGAGGCCTGTCTTAGTGTACCCCATGATGTTGTACAAGTTATGACGGAGTCACTGGGGCTCAAACTTTGTTTTACTGAAAATCTGTTGTACTTAACAGGAAGGGTTGTTTTATTGTTTTCACTTGGATACTTAGACTGTGAACTTATACTCTGGGGCAGGAATCAATAAGAAAAGTGGGTGGGTAGTCCTTATCTTCTCATATAGGGATTTGGAAGGTAACAGGGAAGATGGTCTCTTACAAAGCTGCAGGGAGTCCAGCCTAGCTAGTACTTTTGTATGTTAACTTGGACTTTATTAGAGTTTCAGTTAACACATACAGAAAGAGAAGCCTCTTCTGAATCAATACAGCATCATTTGATGATCATTTTATGAAATAAGGTGACAGCTTAGTGTGGTTAGAGAGACTACAGAGTACTCTACACTACAAAAATGCTTATACAGGGAACAAGGGTACAACCTCCTACTTGAAGGGATAATCCAAAAAAAAAAAAAAAAAAAAAAAAGCATTCAGGCACACAGGGTTCTGGATCTGATTTACCTGTCATGAAATTAGTGCTGCTATAGAAGTGGAGACCTGTGGGAGCAATCAGAGCGCAGATGGGGTGAAGGCACTATTGCCAGTCAGCCTCACAGTAAAGCAATCACAGCCAAGCACCTTCTGGTCATCTCACCTTCTGGAAAGACCAATTACTTATGATCATCAAGTAAAGCATGAGGTATTTTTCTTCATATTTTTTCTAATTATCATGAGAAGCACTGATCATCCCAGGGTTCATTTGTTATCTTCACTTAAAAGTATTATCCACTCCTCTACAACCTAGTAAAAGCAACTGGTTTGAGTACTTACCTAGTAAAGGCTATTCACAGCACATGTGGATTCAGGCTAACAGAGGAGGAAGGGAAAGGGTGATAGAGGAAGACTAGAGCACTTAAAACTATTTTTTTTGTGTGTGTGTTTTTCTTTTTTTTTTTTTTCTTTTCGTGTGTGTTTTCTTTTTACACCGTAAGATGTGATTTTATAAGTTTTAGGGTCATAGAAATGTAGGACTTTTCTAAATTCCTCCTGTGTTTTGCTTCTGATACAGGATCAAAAGTCACCAAAACAACTTCCAATAGCCTACTCTCTAATCTTTTCTTAAAAGCTACAAAAGTGCAGATTTCATGGTTTCTATCAGCCATCTCTTCCAATACTTTACCCACCTTATACTAAAGGTTTGATTTGCTTCTAACCTAAATTCCTCTTGCTTCAAAGTAGGTTTACTGCACCTTCCACTGTTCCTGGAAACTAAGAAAAAAAGTAGATCACCATTCTTCTTACTACACTTGTTAATATATATTAGACTTTTTTTAAGTCTGCTTTTATGCTGTCTCCCAAATCTTCCTTTTCTGGACTCAGCAAATACATTTTTATAACCTATTCACAAGTCATATTTTTCTGAACTACTGTTCCAATTTCTTGCTTTCTCCCTGGGAGCAGCTTGGGAGTCTGGGAACATCTTTAATCTGTGATATGCTGACTTTCTATGCTGTGGATGCCAGTATAAGTGCTTCACAAATGAAACATACAACACACATGACATTCTGTTGTTAGAAAACAGAATGGCATTTTCCTTCTCTACCACAACCCACGCATCAAGGTACTAGTTCCTATTCAGTTTTTGGTCAGCTTCTTTCCTGCAATGCTGATTCCTAGGCCATTATTCATCTCCATATGCCTGGGCATTTGATTTTGCCATTCTAAGGCTTGCATTTTCTACTTGTTCTTATTGAATTTTCTCATATTGATTTCCTACCCTTTCTACAATTTGTCAAGATCATTTTGAATTCTAACCCCATCTTCCCAAGTGCTTACAACATCTCCCAGCCTGATGTCATCCTCATATTTTATACTGCATCATCCAAGCTGTTAACATAAATATTGAATAGTAGTGAACATGAAGCAAAATCATCATAGAATGGTTTGGGTTGGAAAGGACCTTACAGATCATCCAGTTCCATGCCCCCTGCCATGGGCAGGGACACCTCCCACTAGATCAGGTTGCTCAAAGGTCCATCCAGCCTGGCCTTGAATACTCCCAGGGATGGGGCATC